ACACACACACACACACACACACACTTGTCCTATACTTCACACTTTACACAAAATCTCAGTTGAACCATAGACCTAGATATGAAACCACCGCACGGTCTTGACAGACGAAGGGCAGTGGGCCTCGGGTGCAGGGTCGGTGACCGGGTCCTGGGGCAGGGCTGCCTGAGAGCGTGCCTCTGGGACGTGCAGGTGCCAGCTCTAAATGGAGGTTTGTCGGGAGAGGGTGTGCAGCAGGACCCACGTGTTCAGTTGTGCCTCAGCCAGGAGGGAGCCTGGAATCCCGTGGGCGAGTGGGGATCGTGTGGTAGCCCGGGGAGCGCGTGGGCGACCGGGGACGTCATGGGAGCCTGGGGGACGGTGTGGGTGACCAGAGATTGTGGGCGAGCGGGGGCTGCGTGGGAGCCCGGAGACGGCTTGGGAACCCGGGACCTCGTGGGAGTCCGGCGACGGTGTGGGTGACCAGAGACTGGGCGCCCGGGACCGCCTGGGTGTCGGGGCAGGCGGCTGGGTCCCAGGGAACGATGCCGCCCCCCGCCGCCCCCGCCGCCCCCGCCCTGTCCTCCCTGAGGCTCCGCCCAGGTCCCGCCCTGCACTAGCCGAGGCCCCGCCCTCTCCGGCTGGTCCAATCGACGGCCCGCTGCCCCTGGTGGGGTGGAGGGGCTCCGCTCTCCGCGGCTCCTCCCACGCCTGAACGTCCCGAAGGACAGCCAGGCGCCCAATGAGCTCTCCGGACGGCCGGAGCGGCCAAGCAGACGGCCAATCCGGAGGCGGCGCGGGCAGGAAAGGCGGGCCCCCGTGACGGACAGGGGAGGAGGTGCCCGGCTGGTTGCTGGTTGCTAGCTGCCGCCGCTCGCCCTGCGGCCCGACCGCTTCATTGTCACCTGGGCCTCGGAGCCGGCGCCAGGGCCGCGGCGCAAGGTTGCCCGCCCAAAGCCTGAGCCCCGGGCGTTCCACCTGGGAGGGCCGCGCACATTCCCCCGCCGGCCGGCCCCGCAGGCTTCGCGCCCCAGGCCCGGCTCGCGCAGGTGAGGGGGGGTCCCCGCGCAGGTGAGGGGGGCTCGCGCGGATGCGGGTGTGCGGGGCCCGCGCAGGTGAAGGCTTTCCCCCCGTCTTCTCCCCCGTACGGGGGCGGGCGGGGGGCCTGCGCGAGGGAGTGGAGTCCAGTCGGCGGTCTCGGGTCCCACCACCTTGAGCCAAGTCCTTTGGGGGTCTGGGAGCTGCTCGGTGAAGAAGCGGCCGGGGGTCCTGCATCAGCCCATGTTGAGGAGTCTGGGCAGAGGCTCGGGTGCTGGGACAGACATCTTTGTGTGCAAGGCGAGGTCTGGCCTGGAGGTTTCCAGGGAGAGGCTGTGTTTACCATCCCAGAGCCCCGCGCGCTGATGCTGCCCGAGCGGCTCAGCCGGCCAGCCTGGGTCCGGCCAGCCTGGGTCCGGCCAGCCTGGGTCCGGCCAGCCTGGGTCCGGCTGGGTGTGGCCAGTGCCCTGGGGAGAGGAAGGGGTTAAAATCAACCGCACAACCGGAAATGCATGAGTGAATGGCAGGGACAGTTCTGTGCTCCACTCTAGAGAACAGAGGCACTGGCCCCTGGCCAGGGGGCCCCCACTATGTGCACGTGGAGGAGACTGGAGCACTGAACCTGGGGTGGTAATGGTGTGTGCCTGCTGGCCCACCAGAGTCCTCCGTGGCAGGGAGGGCTGTGTTCCTTCCTCCATGGTCATTTTTGGTGCTGCCGGTTCATGCACTCCTCTACTCCTGTTTTTTGAGTGCCTGCCACGTGCCAGGGGCCAGGGCTAGTGGCCCCCGTTCTCGTGGTGCTGATGTTCTTACGAGGAGTGAGACAACGGCAGACCGACCTGTGTGGCCAGGTGAAGGAAAACAGAGCAGGAGGAGGGAGCAAAGTGACGGGGACCAGTGGCTCTGTGAGTGAAGGGGGAGCCCGGGGACGTCCCAGGGGAAGAGGTCCCAGGCAGAGGGGCCGCAGGTGCATGGGCTTGCGATGGAAACAGACTGGCCCAGTTTGAGGAGCAGCAGGATGGCTGGTTTGGCTGAAGCAGAGCGAGGGGCAATGGGGGGCAGTGAGGAGGTCACAGAGAGAGCAGAGTCAGATCTGAGGGGTGTTGGGTGTTTAGACTTTATTCTCTGTGCTGGGGGGCCCTCGGAAGGTTTTGGGCAGGGATGCGGTGTGATCTGAGACCTGGTGGAGAAAGATCAGCTCCGGCTGCCACGTGGGGAGGGGCTGCAGGAGGGACTGTGTGCTTGTCCAGGTTCTAGGAGAGGCTGTGGAGGGAAGGGGTGCGTGGGGAGAGGGTACCAGCAGCAGGTGTGGTGGGGAAGGGAAGATGTCAGCATGAGATCTAGGTGCTTGGTCTGAGCCAGTTACAAATGGTCTGGGTTACATGATTCCTGGGGAGGGGGGCAGCTAGAGGCAGACGTCAGGGTTCTCCTTTGGTGTTTTTGGGGCTGAGGCGCCAGATGCACAGCTGGTCCTGAGTCGGGAATTAGGGAACAGAAGGGGGCCAGGAACCGTCAGCTTCTGTTTGAATCCTGGAGGCCAGATGTGGGCCCCCAGGTGAGAGGCTGGGTGGAGGGGAGGCCAGGGCTGAGCTTGGGGACTCTCTGACCTGAGAGGTTGGGAAGAGGAAGGGGTAGCCAGGGAGACGGAAGGGTGGCTGGTGCTGGTGGGGGGGGGCTAGAAGTGAGGAGCAGATGCCACAGTCGGGGCGCTCTGGGGGGGCTCTGGGGAAGCGCAGGGGTTCCATGGCCAGACCGCGGACCAGAGTTGGGGACCCTGGGTCGGGCAGCATGAATCAGACCACGTCCCAGTTAGAGTGTCTGCCATGGAGCCTCCTGCAGGCCAGCCTCACAGCAGCTGCCTTGTCCGAACCTCCGGACAACCCCAGGAACAGGCACTTTGTGACAGCTGTCTTACAGATGAAGGAAGAGTGCTCAGAGGGGTGGAAAGCCTCTCCCGGGGCGGGGGGGTTCAGTGCTGCCCCGGGCCACCCTCGGGCAGGGTCCCTCTGGAGAGCCGTCACTTCGGCCCCAGGTCCTGCTCTGACAAAGGGACCCCCGCCCACCCAGCGAGGAGGTGGCTGGGTGGCAGGAGGCTCCCTGACCTGGCGGGAGGTGGTGTGTGAGGTGGCCTGGCTCCTCAGAGGATGTCCCAGCGCATTTCTTGCCTGCTCAGCCTCCATGAAGGGCTCCCGGGCCACCAGCGGTCCCTCCGGCGCCCCCGAGGGCAGCTCAGAAGGGGTGGACCTGAGCCTGACCGGCCTCCCTCCACCTGTGACCTGGCGCCCCAACAGTGCCTCCACCGCCAAGCCCATCGCTCGCTCCTTCTCCGTGGTCACGGGCAGTGAGCCGAGGAGGAAGGTGCTGGTGAGTGCTGGGGCCGGGGGTGTGTGGGTGTCCCTGCGCTGCCCCCACCTCCTGAAGAGTCTCCCCACCCTTCCGCAGGCATTCCACATGTCTGTTGTCCTGTCCTTGCCTGTGGCCGCCCCAGGCTCAGGAGGGACTCCCGCTTGTAGACCAGAGACCTAACTCACAAAGAGGTCAAGGCCAGGGTCGGTCAAGGGTCGGCCCAGCCTGAGGCAGAGCCTAAATCCTGCTGGCACCAATCTCTTGGTCCCTCTTGCTCCACCAACATTGGATTTATTTGCGTCGTCGAGGAGAGGGCCACCTTTGGGGGAGGAGATGAGCTCCCAGCGGCCTTGAAGAAAGCCTGGTGGGCAGGCCGGCAGCAGGTTCTTGGCCGGAGTGGGGTGGCCATGCTCCTTGGGTAGCGGATGACCATGAGGACCAGGCCCAGCAGCCATTGCCGAAACTCCCGGGCCAAGCCCCACACACTTCCTCCTGGACCCTCACCAGCCAGGGACGAAGCCACGTTGTTCGAGGAAGACGAGGCTTTGAGAGGCCGAGGACTTGGGCCAGCTCAGCGGGCCCTGCCCAGGACCCCACACTACTGTTGTCCACAAGAACCAGGAGACCCCTCTCCTCTCTAAATCCGTTTTCCGAGGCCTGGCGTGGCACGGCGTAAACTGGTGAGTGTCTGAAGCCTTCGCCATGGGGTTTCTTGTTTCTTCCTTTTACAGGAGGGGCCTGGAGGTTCCCGAACCATTAACAACCTTCGTAGATCTAACAGCACCACGCAGGTCCACCAGCCGCCAACCAGCCAGGCCTGGACTGGCCCCTTCAGGTAGCCCCCAGCGCGCTCCTTTCCTGCCTCTGTCAGTCCCCCTTCCAGCCTCATCAGGTAGGGCCCAGGCTGGGCACTGGGGCCTGATGTGACCTGCACTCAGGCCAGCCCTGTGGGGGGCAGGGGGGCAGGCAGGCGGGACGCGTCTTACCCCTTTGTGTCTGCGAGTAGAGATGCGGAGCCCCAGGCCGGCATCCCCCTGCCTGCTTCTCTTCCTCTGTCCCTGCTGCGCCCTTCATGTGGGTGTAGGGGTGGCTGTGGCTCGGGTGGGAGCCCCTCCTTCAGGCGTGGTTGTCAGATTATAGCTAAGCAATGATGCGCCAAGCCCCGGGCTTGGGGACAGGATTCTGCTGTGCTGACCTGGCTCCTCCCATCCCCTCGGAAGACCCGCCCGTCTGCACTCCTGGAGCGGGCCTCCCTGGGCTGACTGTCCCTGCCTGCCATCCCCTCTCCCGACACAGGCCGGCTGGGCGCCCCCACTTCCTGACCCTCTTCGAGGGCAGCTCTGCTGGGACAAAGAGGCTGGCTGGTCTGAGCAAGGCTCCCAGCGAGAAGGGAGCCACATGGAACGTCCTGGTAAGGGCCAGTGGCTGAGTCTAAGTGTCCCTCTGAGAGGGACGCCTGGTTCCTTCCTTGTTCTGGCTGCACCTGTGGGCGGGGCCGGCGGTGGGGAGGGGGTCAGTATTAGCCGGCTTTGATCCAGCGTGACAGGTGGAGGAGGGGCACAGAAACTCCCAGCCCCCTGGGCCATCCTGTCTGTGGGTGAGGCTGTGGAGGACATGCCAGGGGCTTGGGGTCAGTGGCCTGTGCAGCATGTCATGGTCTGAGGTGGCTACCGTGTCACCGACAGGATGACCAGCCCAGGGCTTTCACTTTGCCACCCGACTTCCAGAGTCCTAGCACCGTCGACGCACCGGTGGGCCCACGGAAGAGGGAGTGCACCATTCCTCTGGCCCCCAACTTCACTGCCAACAACAGGTGGGACCTGCTGTAGGCGTTCTGCGTGGCCCCAGCCACCTGAAGCCCCTGGAGGAGGGCGCCGTTTGTCTTATTCGTGGCAGGACCTGCGTGCTCTGGAATGAACGAATGAATGAGGCAATGAGTGGCTGGCTTTCTCCACCCAAGGGCCCAGGGAAGGAGGCTGCAGGGTGGCATCTTGCATCCTAGGCAGGGGCTCTTCTGGCCTGGGGAGGGAGCTCAGACGGGGTACACCCCCACCCGCCCTCTCCTCTGCGGGGCAGCTTGCCTCCAGACGGCCCGAGACGCCCGGCTTTGCTCCCGAAGAGGTCAGGCCTGGGAGGGTCATGTGGGGCCACGGGCCACTGTATAAGGCTCGGCCTCCACATCTCAGGAGGGGAGAGCCTGTTTCCTGGGGCCATTCCTGCTCGCTGCGTGCCAACAGCGGGTCCGCGTGCAGGCCCTGGTGGTCCCTGGTCAACCGTGCCACCCACAGCGGGACAGAACCAGGCACGTGCAGAGCGATGGCCAACATGGTGGGGTCTGCAGAGGGCCGGGCAGGCTGCGGCCTCGGCCGATGGGGCTGCTGGCCAGGAATCGTCGGGATGGGTGGGTGGCCTGGAGAAGCCATGGAGGAAAGCAGGCTCGGCGTGGCTGCCCTGGGCTGTCAGGGGAGCTGGTTCCCCTCGCCGTGGGCAGAGGGACAAGGAGATACATTTGCTTCAGCGCAAGAACTTCCCAACGCGACAGCCATTTATCAAAGGAACGGTCTTTGAGAGAGGTTCTCCGGGACCGTTTCCCAGAGTCGGTGCAGTAAGAATTCTTGGTTTGACTCAAGAATTTAAGTGAAAATTTAATTGTAATTTCTATCAGTGATGCACGTACACAACTAAAACATGGAGCTGGACCACAACTTAAGATGAAAACTAGCATACCCGCTGCCCTTCCCTCCCCACCCCGAGTCCTGCTCCCCAGGGGCATGTGCTGTCGGGCTATTTCTGGTGTTTTCTAGGAGGCGTTTATCAAAGCTGCACCATTGTTGCTCATCGCTGATTGTCTTCTGCGTGGAGGGCGGGGTTTGCTCTCCTGTGGCCCGCGCTGCATGCGAGCACATATTCCCTCTACCCACCACCCCGGGAGGGCCGCACCAGTGGATGTGCCTCAGTCTCTGTGGTTGCGTTTCCATGCAGGGACCGACACCAGCTCTGCCTGGCCCGATTCTGATTTTGCATGGTTTTTTTGTTTTGTTTTTTTGCTGTGGGCCTTGGGGCAGGTTACTTAACCTCCCTGGGCCCCAGGTCCCTCATTTATACTAAGGGGTCATGCTTGTGTTTGCAGTCAGGAGGGTGCACTGGGGAAGACATGCGCCTTAGAGCAGTGCCGCGCCCCAGGGGCGTGTCGACATTTGGGACAGGCTGGTGTTTTTCCCAGAGTTAAATTTTCCCACTTGGTGGTCTGTGTCCCAGCCACGTGTCCCAGACTCGACAGCAGGGGCCCTCCCTGTCCACCTTGCTCTGGAGAAACCCCTCGGAGCCTGGCTTCTCCCCCCCCGACCTGGGTCGGACTGGCCGCCCTCCCTGCGGGCTGCACACCCACGGCCACAGGCTGCCCCCGGCCGCCCCCGCCTCCGTGTGGGCCCTCTGTCCCCATCTTCCGTGAGCACACCCTCCTGCAGGCTCCCGGCGAGGATGCTGAGGTTGCCCGTGTGCCTAACAAGGCCGTCACCCTCGAGCTGACCCGGAGTTTGGTCAGCAGAGCCACCAGAGCTGTCGCTCGGGTTCCATGGACAGCCGCCAGGGGGTCCTCTGCCCCGATCCCTGGTCCTTTTCTGGGTCCTGTGTTCTCTCGAGAAGCATTTTGTGTCGCCCCTCACTTCCCCGTGTGGAATCCCGAGGTGCCGGCCCTCTGCCCTGAGTCCTCCCCACTCGCCTGCTGGCCTCGGGGGCCCCCGTCCCAGATACGTGCTGCTCGGCCCCAGCAGATGTCGTCCTGTGTTTTCCATGGCAGTTTTCTTCCCTTTGCTCTGCTCCCCCGTGAGTGCGTTGCTGGCCCGGCGGGCCTCCTGGGTGGACTCTACAGTCTGCCTTCAGCTCTGGGACCCGGGGGCCCCGCGTACCCCCGTGCTGCAGGCCTGCTCTTGCCTCCGTCCCTGCATGGCCAAGCTGCGTGGTCCTCGGTCCCACAAGTTCCTCCTGTTCCGAGGGCGGTGGTTCTCAATCGCCCTCTGACGACACCAGGCAGCCAGGCCTCCACCCGCTCAGGAGGCTGTGCGCTCGCCCCGACTCCACACGCGTCTCAAGTCAGCTGCGCTGGGAGTATTGAAATTCGCAAACGCGACAAATCAGCTTTTCCTGCAGAGAACAGGCTGTTAAACATGTGTCGGCACAGCCTGGTTGCCAGGATGGATTCTCGGAGACGCCCTGTCCTGTTTGTCAGCCCTTCGCATGTGCGTCTGTCCTCAGATGTCTGGCAGAGCACTTGCAAGGGAGGCCCTCCAAGTTGTCTGGTGGCTCACACCGGGGCGACTGGGCAGGGGCCAGGCTGCCGTCTCGGGGAGCTGCACCTGTCAGCATCTGGGGCTCTTCTCTGGGCTGCTCGTCTCTCCCGAGAGGGAGTCTCTGGTCTGCTGCCTGCGCGCCCCGCCGGGGGTGGGGGGTGGGGACGTCCTGCTGGGCACACACAGGGAGAGCCAGCCTCCTGTCTGGAGCCGAGGGATGGGCTTGGTGCCAGGTTGCCAACCGTGAGGAAGGGGTCGCAGTGTTGCTTTAGAAGAGCCGGGCATCCCCACTTCCTGCGCCCCGTGGGGTCCTAGGGGGCACAGCAGCCGCCCCTGCGCCCCGGGCATCTCCTCCCTCCCTCCCCGTGTGGCTTACCACTGGCCTTTCTGTTTCTCATCCTGTAAAACACTGTGGTCACGTGCTCGCGGCTCTCTCCTCCACATTCCCTTTGTCCACATGTGTCTGTACCATGTGTGTTCCTTCCGGTGGGTTTGAGGGGCGCAGAGAGAAGCCTGTGTGTCTCCTGTCTCATCGGCACAGAAAGGCCCATGCTCCATGGACTGGTGGTCTGTGACCAGCAGGCGTGTCCACTGTCAGGGGCCTGGGTTTTCACAGCCCAGCTCGGGTTCTGCTCAGTGGAACACTAGGGGCGGGGCTCTCCCAGGTCCTGAGAAGCCCCCACTGTTGGTGTGCTGGCCGTGGAGGGGTCCCCGGGGACACTTGGATGATGCTGTGGTGATCATGCCCCGGGGCTCTGTGCCGCCTCTGGAGCCTGACACCGCTCCGGTCTCTTCCGGCAGGAGCAATAAGGGCGCCGTGGGCAACTGCGTCACCAGCATGGTGCACAACCACTACACCCCCCCGGACAAGGCGCCGCCCCCCAAGAGCTCCAACCACATGGCTCCCTCCCTCAAGTAAGGCCTGGCTCCGGTCTGGGGCGGGTGTGGGAGCCGGTGCACGGCGAAGAGCCCAAACGGGGGCAGGCGGTGCCCACGAGGGGCACCAGGGAGGCCACATTCTGACCGGATCTGCGCGGGCAGTCAGGCGGGCCTGGGGCTCACCCCCGGCGTGCGGTCCTGCTGAGGAGGCTGCAGCCGCCTTCGGAGTCTCCAGGCCCTGGCTGAGTCTGGTGCAGGCCTGTGTGTGTCGCCCCATGCCTCCTGCACCCTGGGAGGCAGGGAGTGCCCATGGGGTGTCTGGGGTCACTGTCTGGCTCTGGGATCCTACGACTCTTGAGATCTCTTTGCTTTTTTGAATGGAAAGAGCCCATTAGCCCTGGGTGCTGCCAAATGGGCCCTGTGGGGGGATCAGCTAGCATTCGGGACTGGGGAGCAGGTTGTGCCCGCCACTCATGTCCTGTGGGTGCCTCCTTCCAGCCCAAGGCCCCCTGGGATGAAGCCGAGGCTGCCCCCCCCCCCCCCCCCCCCCTCGCAGGCCAAGCCGACTGCCGGGGCTGGGAGGGGGCCTGGGAGGTGGCCGTGAGCCATTCCTGCCCTTTCCTGTTAGCAATATCCTCAAGGCAGCCACCGGTGGCAGGGAGAGCAGCAGCTCTGCGAAGCCACACAAGAACTTGGCCGGCAGCAGCCACATGGCCCAGAACAACGCCGGGGGCGCCCTGGGCCCGCTCAGACGGAAGGAGGTGACAGAGGAGGAGGCCGAGAGGTGACCAGGGGCTGGGGGCCAGGAGGGGGCCGGAAGCTCCCGTGATGGGAATTTCCACTTGAATGATTGTTTTCAAACATGGACGCGGACAAGCTCCCGTGTCGTCCAGGCCCGTTTGTACTAAGTGTGAAGAAGAGGCAAGTCTGCAGAGGGGCCGGTACCGCCCCAGCCGCCTGCGGCCGCGGACACCAAAGGAAAGGGGATATCTTTTCGGGGTGATGGAAATGTTCCAAACCTGGGTCACACTGGCGGTCATACACGTGGGTCAGTTTACACAAAATTATTGAATGGTATACTTAAGATGAATAAATTTTATAGCGTGTCAGTTATAGCTCACTAAAGCTTTTAATTAAAGCATTAAGTGGAAGAAAGATATAGAAACTGAAAAAAGCACCAACAATCTTACGGTGCCTTCTGCGGTGGCCCCCAGTCCATGGCATTGGTCCTGGTCAGAAAGCTGCAGGTGATCCAGTCACTGCTGCTGTCCTGCCGGAGCCTGGGGAGCAGGCCTGGAGGAGGAGTGGGTGAGGCCGGAGCCTGCAGCTCCGTGCACCCCCTGGGCCCTGTGTCAGCTGCACGGGCCCCGCTCTGCCCCTGTCCCCGGGCCGGCGACCATCCGTGTCCTGGATGTTCTGTATGGACTTTAAATGGTCCGGAGAGCCAAGGGGAAGACTTTGTCAAGTTTAGTCAGCTTTTCTGACTCGAATTGACTGGCAGTAAGATGCACGCATGTAATACGGCATGTAGTGTGGTGAGCTTGGGCACCTGCGTGCAGCCACCAAGACACAGAACGTCTGTCACCCCCAGAATCCCCCCCGCCCCGCCACCTGCAGGCCTTGTATCCGGCTTCTCCAGGCCTGACCCTGGCCATGCCCAGCTGTCCCTTTAGGGCTTTGCCTCTTCTAGAATGCTCTGGCTGGAGCACTAGGCCTGGGGCCCGTCTCTGGTGTGTGGCTCTCTGTCTGTGAATAGCTTCCACTGTCGGGACTGCAGCATTCACCCACAGCCCAGCCGTGGGCCTCGGGGTCATTTCTGGTGATCAGCGTCTGTGGATGGGCATTTTCGTTTTTGCGGGAACGTGCAGCTATTGGCTTCTCTGCCTGCCTGGGCCTTTGGGGGGACGCGGAGGGGAGAGGCCATCGCTCAGCTGCCTCGGGTGCACAGGGCCCAGCCTCCGTCCTGAGCACTGCTGCCTCCCCGCAGGTTTATCCACCAGGTGAACCAGGCTGCTGTCACCATCCAGCGATGGTACCGCCAGCAGGTGCGGCAGCGCCGAGCCCGAGCTGCCCGTCGAGAGCACCTGCTAGCACCCAAGCAGGAGGTCAGTGTGGTGCGAGAGCTGTGCCCTGAGGAAGCAGGCCAGAGTCCCAGGGGCCCCAGCCACATACACTGGGATTTCTGCAATCTGGGATTGCCCCATGGGTCCGTACCCCGTCTAGGGTACCTGCTCCCTCCTGCCCTGAGTCAGGGCCTGGATGTCAGGACACACCTGCCAGTGGCACCCTGGGCCGAGCAGTCTGAGCGGCTTTCCGGCTACAGGTCCCTGCTCTGAGAGGCAGGGCTGTCTCCCCACCTGGAGGAGCCCCTGGCTGCCTGGCCCCCCCCACGGCAGGTCAGGGGACCGTGGAGTCTTGTGGAAGCCCAGGTCTGGATTGGGCAACTCCATCCTCCCAGTCAGACCAGCCGTGGCTTCGGCTTCCACAGGAGCAGCGGCAGCAGCTGGGAGAGGGGCTCCTGGGCCTGCACCAGCAGAAGGAGGCGGCCAGGAGGAAGGTCCGGGAGGAGAAGGCACGCCAGGCCAGGCGAGCGGCCATTCAGGTGCCTGGGATGGCCTGAGCAGCGTGGGGAGCCCAGTGCCAAGGCAGCAAACGACACTTGCCGGGTCCACCCCCTGTGCCCTGGGGGACCCCTGCCTGCTGCCTTTCCTGACCCCTCCTTCCCCAAGCCCCTGGACGTTGGGCCCCAGGGCAGCTGGGCATGGCGGGGGTGAGGGGCCTGGCTGTGTCCAGGCGAGGCTGCTCAGAGGTGCTCCTCATGGCAGGAGCTGCAGCAGAAGCGAGCCCAGAAGTCAGGTGACTCTGAGCCTGGGCTGCTGAAGGAGGCCTGGGAGATGGAGAAGCCCCGGCCCGCCCGGGAGCCAGCCCCCAGACCGGGGGGCACCGCTCATGCCCCGCAGACCCACAAGGCCAACAACGCCGGTGAGCGCAGCAGAGCCTGGAGGCCGTCCTGCACGTGCCCCAGCTCTGCGCCCTCGAGGGCATTGCCCCGCCCCGAGCCCAGCGCAGACACCCCTGCCCCCTCCCTCTGGAGGGCTGTGGCCTCTGCTGATGTCCCCCAGCCCCCTGTGTCCCTGCCGCACTGTGCAGCAGACCCTTAGGCCCTGCCTTTCTGCTCCTGCGCCTCTTCTTCTGGAACTCGATGGGGGAGACCAAGAGTTCTGGGGTCACACCTGTTCCCCTGACCTTTCGCCCCAGGTCAGGGCTCTCTAACGTTCCCTGTGTTCCACATGAAGTCTGCCATGGCACTTGCTGTCACGTGCTCCGCCTCCCCTGTGTGTGGCCTCTTCTCAAGGGCTCCCCAGATGTGCTACCCCCAGCTGGGGGGATGCCCGGGGCAGGGGGCCAATGCTGTGCTGTGTTGCACAGGGGCTGGCTTCCGAACCGCGGGCCCAGAGGACCCCTGCCAGTCTGCTTCCAACTCATCCCCAGAGCCCCGGAAATTTCCAGAAGACAAGCCTCAGGTGTCCATATGGCTCCTCCTGCCTGCCCTCCCCGGCCTCAGCTTCAGGGGGCATCCATGCCTAGGTGGCCCAAGCCGGCCCCCCCATGGCCGTGGGGTCACTGGTGCCAGGAAAGCCTGCCCAGAATGGGTCTTGTTGCTCCAGTGCAAAATGGGGTCTCATGGGTTGCTCTGGAATCCCATCGGGTGTTCGTAGATGCTCTGGTGTGGGGCCCCGTGTCCATGCCTACAGAAGGGACCAGGAAGCCCAGAGGTTAGGGGTGAGGAGGCCAGGCCCAGGGGCATCCCACCCAGTCATCCTTCTGGTTTCCCTGGAGGTGGGTCGGGATGAGCCTGGTCCACGTGGCTACGTGCGCACGAGCCTGTGCGGAGGAGGCCTCCCCTCTTGCGGCACCCCATCTCCCCCCAGCCTCCTGCCATGGCTCTCTGGTGGTCCCCAGTGGCCTCGTGGTTCTCCCTCCTACGTGTCCACTGCAGGATGCCAGCTCCCGGGGTGTGGCCGGTGAGGATCTGGAGGTGGTGGGTCCCGCCAGGGGCAGGGCCAAGTCCAGGGCGACCCTGGATGAGCTGCTGGACACGCTCAAGCTGCTGGAGGAGGAGCCCGAGCCACTGCCCTGCCCCAGGGCCTACCACAAGGACAGATACTCCTGGACCGACGAGGTGACTGTGGGCTGCGTCCGCACAGGTCACGGGGGCTCCTGCCTGCTTCAGTCGGGACCCTAATGAGGGCCAGATGGGGCTTGTTAGGACGCCCAGAGTAACCCTGGGGTGGGGAGTGGGTGCTGCCTCTCTGCCCGTGGTGCCCCCGGCCCGCAAGCATCTGGGCAGCCTAAGAGGCCCTTCCTTCCAGACCACGTCTGGCCGCCTTCCCCAGCTGTCCCTGCACTCGCTCCTCCCCATTCTCCCCTGCCCTGGGGTCCCCGAGTGGCTCCTGGAGGCCCAGCCCAGTGTCCTCGGCTGCCCCAGCGGCCCCTGCTTCTGTGCTCCCTCCCCTGTAGGAGGATGATGCCAGCTCGCTGACCGCTGACAACCTGGAGAAATTTGGAAAGCTCAGCACATGCACCGGTCCCCCTGAAGATGGGACTTTGCTGTCCGAGGCCAAGCTGCAGAGTATCATGAGCTTTCTGCACGAGATGGAGGTGGAGAAGTCGGGGCAGGACCGGCCAGCCTCAGCCCCCCAGGTGTGGAGGGGCCCCAGGGAGGGACGGCAGGTGACTGGGACCTGCCTGACGCATATGCTGCCTTCCCAGGGGCTGGTGTCACAGGAGGGGTGCCTGGAGCTCGCGTCCATTGGGAGCGCATCTGTACTGCGGCTGAAGCTGGAGGTGGAAGAGAAGAAGCAGGCCGTGGGGTTGCTGCAGAGAGCTCTGGTAACGTCCCCGCCACCCCAGCCTGGCAGATCCTCACACGCATGCGGGGGGCCGTGACCACGCAGGCCCTGCTCACCAGCCCGGGTGTGTCCTGCTGGCGCTGCTCCCTGGGAGCCCCCCCCCATCTCCTCCTCCTGGCGCCCCCTGCCCAGCTGCTCCTCCTGGCGCCCTTTACAGGTGCAGCAGCGGGACCTGACCGTGCGGCGGGTCAAGGAGACCAAGAAGGAGCTGGGCCGGCAGCTGCGCCAGCAGAGGGACCACTACGAGGCCACCATCCAGCGGCACCTGGCCTTCATCGACCAGGTACGTCTGGCTGGACCATGGGGCACCAGGGGAGAGGCGTCAGGACCAGCTGGGCCCATGGGGTCGTCGGGTTCCAGACGGGCTTGAGCCTCACGGAGACTTCCAGGCCCACGGGCCTTCCTCGCTGGGCCTCCTCCTTTCTGTGGAAATGGGCGGCACCCTCCCTGTGGGAACTGCTTGATGGGCTCGTCTGAGACATCGCTGGGTGCTCCCCCCGCTGCCGTGACCCGCCCCCACCCTGCGGCCGTGGCCCCTGCCCCGGGGTCCCCCGCAGGCTCTCGGCACTCGGTGGTCACGCGGCAGCTCTAGCCCTGGCCCTTGATTGCAGCTGATTGAGGAAAAGAAGGTGCTGGCCGACAGGTGTGAGGCTGCGCTGGCCGAGCTGAAGCAGGGGAGCGACAGGCAGAAGGACAGGGAGGCCCAGGTGCAGGAGCAGCACGAGCTGGTGAGCCCCGCGGCCGGACTGGCCGGCTCTCCCCCGCTGTCCCTGCAGCCGGCCTCCAGCCCCACTGTGCGCTCAGCCCCGTGGGAGGGGGTCCGTGCCCGCCCGCCCCAGAAAAGGGCAGCCTCAGAGCATGAGAGTTGTGGGGCTCATGAACGAGACCCCGGGGCCCGCCATGCAGCCTCGGAGCCAGGGGGAGTTTGGGGCCTGAGCCCTGCGCCGCCCAGGGCACCAGCCAGTGGGCCAGGCCGGGGAGGGGGGAGCCGCCCCAGCACCAGTGTCAGTCCCCTCCTGGCACTGGAGCTGCTGCTTTCCTCTGGCCCGCTGGGTGCCAGACCCTGGGGCGGGGGCCGAGGGGCTCGCAGGACCCCTCCGTGTCGCACACGAGGAGGGAGGGCTCAGGTGCTGGCCGCGTGCGAGCCTGAGCTGCCCCAGCTCTGGGCCCCTGGGCGGAGGGACCGCACGTGTTTCTCCCGGCTCTGTTGGCCGACAGCCGGGTCCCTGCTTCAATCGGCTTTGCTGGCAGCCGCTGTCCACAGGCTGCCCCCCCTCGGCTACGCCGCCCATGGTGTGGGTGGCGATGGTCCCCAGGCTCAGAGCTGACCCTGCAGGGCTGTAGCACCAGCATTGTTTTTACTTTTAAGATTTACTTATTAGGGGGAGAGAGGGCGTGCACAAGCAGGAGGGACAGAGGCGAGGGAGAATCTCTAGCAGACTCCTCACTGAGCAGAGATTCCCCACGCGGGGCTTGATCCCACGACCCTGAGATGATGGCCCAAGTCGAAACCAAGAGTCAGACGCTTCACCGACTGAGCCGCCCAGGCACCCTGCACCAACATTTTTAAAGCGCCCCCCAGCCACCGCAGGGGCCAGCCAGGGCTGGGGACTCAGGGGCACCCCAGTGGGGCCTCTGCAGGCCGATTCCTGCCCCCCACCTCAGGCCTCCAGACTGGATCCTGTCTCCACGTCTGGGGAGAGCAGAATAGGATCACTGGCGCGTGCAGGGCAGGGGGTGGCCCAGGGCGGGGTTTGTGTGTCTCCCCCCTTCCTTACAGCTGCTCTGTGGACTTCCTGTTTCCTTGGTGGCAGGAGATTAAGAAACTCAAAGAACTAATGAGCGCCACCGAGAAAGTCCGCAGGGAGAAATGGATCAATGAGAAAACCCGAAAAATCAAGGAGATCACAGTCCGAGGTGGGGACCGGCCACCCCCCAGAGCTGGTCACGGGCTGACAGGCCACACGGCCCAGAGGCAGCCACAGGGCATCTTTGAGCAAGGACGGTGGTTTCAGTTACAGCCTCGGTGGACCCGGGACAAAGGGCGGGTCCAGGAGGATGGGCTTGTCTTCCCTCTGCCCCCTGAACTCCTCCACCTTCCAGGGGAGCGTGCCAGGTGGAGCGCAGGGGGCCCTGGGTTCCTTGCCGCCTGGGACCATGGCCGCTCCCCTGCTTAGAGAGCGGGTCTGAGGGCTGATGGAGCACCCCAGCTGTGGCTGCTGATGCCCAGCCCGCACCCAGCCCTCCTGCCCCCGGACACCCTCTTCCCCAGTGATCCCTCCTCCAGGGAGCCCTGCACCTGGGGGAGCCCCGTGTGGGGGGAGGGATGGTGATCCCCGGGGCTCGGCTGTGCTTTGGGCTGGAGCCTCTGGGGTGGCCGGGGTGGGAGATCCCCTGGCTGGGCTGCGGCCCTGGTGTCACAGTGGGGGAGAATGGGGGGTTCCCTACAGCACCGGGGCAGGGGTCAGCAGAGCGGGCAGAGGTCAGGTGTCCCCGGCCACCCAGGAGCCGAGGGGCAGGCCCCTGCAGTGCGGCGCCCTCCCTCCAGGCCTGGAGCCTGAGATCCAGAAGCTGATCGCCAAGCACAAGCAGGAGGTGAAGAAGCTCAAGAGCTTGCACGAGGAGGAGCTGCTGCAGGCGGACTCGCGGGCGGCCCAGCGCTTCGGGCGCCAGGTGGAGGAGCTTCGGGAGCATCTGCAGCGGGAGAAGGAGGCGCTGGGCCAGCAGGAGCGGGAGCGCGCCCAGCAGCGGTGCGTGTCCCCACCGGGGCGGGCCTTGCCCGGGGAAAGACCCCACGGGAGGGCGGTGGGGGGGCAGACGGCGGACGCTCGCTCGGAGGCTGGTGCCGGGGCAGGAGACCCAGGGGGCAGGACGAGACCCGTGAGGGCTGCAGGTGGCGCCGGGTGGTGCGGGCGCGGGTGGGTGGCCGTGGTGGGAGCCCCCAGCCCTGTGCCGAGCCTCCGGTCCCACAGCTTCGAGCAGCACGTGGAGCAAGAGCAGCGGGCCCTTCAGCAGCAGCGGCGGCGGCTCTACGGAGAGGTGGCCGAGGAGAAGGAGCGGCTGGGCCAGCAGGCGGCCAGGTGCCACCGGGAGGGGGTCCCGCCCGCCGCCCCGCGCCCCGCCCCGCACCCCGACCCCTGCCCCGCGCCCAGCGCTGCGCCCCGCACGTGCTGACCTCTCCCGGGGCCCGCAGGCAGCGGGCGGAGCTGGAGGAGCTGCGGCAGCAGCTGGAGGAGAGCAGCGCGGCTGAGGGCCGGGCTCTCAGGGCAGAGTTCGAGAAGGGGAGAGAGGAGCAGGAGTACCGGCACCAGGTCTGCGGGGAGCGCCCGCTCTGGGGGTGCCAGGGTGGCGGCCGCGAGGGGCGCCGGGCCAAGCCTGGGCTCGTGCGACGGGGCTCCCTGGCCAGCTTTTCCGGTGCCGCCCGCCCCCCAGATGGAGATGAAGACCCTGAAGGACCAGCTGGAGGCCGAACGACAGATGTGGGAGGCCAGCTGCGCCAAGAAGGAGGTGGGGAGCTGGAAGCAGTCTCCTGCCCGGCACCCCCGGCGTCAGAACAGCCACGCGTGGGTTCCCCGTTCGTGGCCTCCCCGTGGGCGCAGTTCTGGCTGCTCGGGGACTGGTGGTCATGCACTTGTGTGCATGCTATGCAAGTGGGCTGGTTCAGCCCTTCTCAGAGGGGGGCTCCAGGAGAGACCGGGGGGCCGGGGCGGACCCCTGTGGTGGCAGAGGGGGCGTTCCTCACCCTCCCTTTGCCCAGGTGGCTGCCCTCCTCATCTTCTGGTGCCTTCCGCAGGAAGCACTAGCCTGCACTGCCAGGTGCTTCTGGAACGAGGCCGTGGTGGACAGGCGCACAGGGCCACACGAGGCCGTGCCCCTTGGCCTGGTGACAGAGCCTCAGCGGTGGCTGAGCAGCCTCCCCGTCTGGCCCGTAACCATGCACGGGGGTCACTGTATTTGTGGGATATGTTTGCAGATGCAGGGCAGCTGGGTCCCAGAGGGTAGTGTGAAGCCTGATGGGAGTTTCCAAGTTTCCTTCCAAGAGCCTGCCCCATTTGGGCCCTCACCCCCCGTCCGCAGGCTTGGAGGTGTCCAGGTCTGCTTTCAGACCCAGGACAGCAGCCCTGGGCGGCGCTGCTGGTGCTCACGCTGTGTCCCACCCTGTGTCTGACCAAAGGGCTGGTGGGGCCCAGGGCAGGGCCAGGTCCCGCCACCCTGGAACCCTGCACCAGCCCCACTGAGCCCCGTGCACCCATAGGAAGCATGGCTACTGAACCGGGAACGTGAGCTGAGGGAGGAGATCCGGAGAGACCGGGATAAGGAGATCGAGCTGGTTATCCATCGGCTGGAGGCCGACATGACGCGCGCCAGGGAGGAGAGCGAGAGGGCCGCAGAGAGCCGGTGAGGCCTTCTCCCACCGGTGCCCGGCACGGCCCCGAGTCCCCGGAGCGCCCTGACCCTGCCCCTGTCCGCCAGCGTCCAGCGCATCCGGGACAAGTACGACACGGAGCTTTCAGAGCTGGAGCAGTCGGAGCGGAAGCTGCAGGAGCGGTGCACCGAGCTGAAGGGGCGCCTTGGGGAGGCAGAGGGGGAGAGCGAGCGTCTGCAGGGCCTGGTGCGGCAGAAGGAAAAGGAGCTGGCCCACCTGACGACGGTGAGCAGGGTGGGAAGGGGCGGGCGGCGGCCCCAACGCGCCCCGGCCGCCCGCTCACTCCCACCCCGTGCCGGCCCAGGTGAACGAGCAGCTGGTCAGCGAGAGGGGCGGCCTGGCCGAGGTGCTCCGCCGGGAGTTCGCGGACCAGCTGGCAGCCTCCAAGGAGGAGACCCGGCGGCTCAGGGCCGAGCTGGCCGAGCTGCGGGCCCGCCAGAGGCTGGAGCTGGAGCAGCTCACGCGGGAGAAGCAGGCCGAGCTACAGGAGGTGCACGGGAGGTGGGCCGGGGGCCGGACTTGGGGTCCTCGGGGAGCATGGGGGGAGGAGGTGGGACCCCACAGCTCCAACAGGAGGACGCTGGCTCTGAGAAAGGGAAGGGGGCTGCGGGTCTGCGTCTCCTCGCAGCTGATGGAGAGCTGGGCCGTCAGCTGCCGCTGTGGGCTCCACGTGGCCGGGGCCCGGCTGGCTGAGTACCAAACGTCCCAGCAGGATCCGGCTGGCTTCTGCCCCAGGAGCGCCCCGGGCCTGTCTCCCTGGCCTGGGTGAAGCAGCCCCTGTGGCAGAGGAGTTGGAGCCCCAGGGGCTTAGTGGTGGGCAGCTCCCCCAGCCCTGCGAGACCCCTTAGTCCTTCCAGAGAGGCAGGAGTTGGGGGGGGGGGGGCTTCTTCATCTCAGCAGGGAGCCTTCCCGGCATGTGTCAGGATCCCCACTCTGGGCTCTGACTCACTGAGGCTGGTTCTGCGGGCAGTGGCCCCGGGGCCGGCCGTGGGGGTCCCAGCTCGTCACCAGCCCCCCCGGACGACCCAGTGCTCATGGTCAGCAGGGCTGGGATGGGGTGGGCAGCAGAGCTGCCCCACTGGCTCTTCCAGGATGGAGGCCCGTCCCGGCCCCCCCGCTGCACTCAGCTGCATGCCGGCCGCGGGGTCAGGCCGGGGCGTTGCCCCGCGGCCCACCACGCGCTCCCCCGCAGGGTGAAGGTGGCCCTGGCGAAGAAGGAGGAGGCCGTGCGCAGCCTCCGGAAACAGCATGAGGTGGGTCCCCGAGGCCAGGTCTGCCCGAGGGCGGGCGGGGGGTAACGACCGGGCCTGACTGTAGGTGGACGGCACACTGCAGGCCGCGGTGAAGCGGGCCGACCACCTGGAAGAGCTGTTGGAGCAGCGCAGGTGGCCATTCCCGAGCGCCAAGTGACCACCCGCCGCCCACAGCCCGGACGGGCCGACGACAGCCAGGCTGGGGGTCCCTGGTGCGAGGTGGACCCCAGCCCGGCGCCACCGCCCCCTTCCGTCCTTGTGTCCTGGGCTCAGTCATCCTGATGCTAGAGCGCCACGGCTGCATTTGAACAGTAAAGAGGTGTTTTTAGTACTTTGTGTGCCCCTGCCTCATCTCTCTCTCCTGGGCCGGGGGCTGGGGTGGTGGGGGCTGGAGGCCAGGCGCAGGGTGTTCCCAGCCCAGCTCTGCTGTCAGCCTGACCCCCTGTGCCACCTGCCTGCTGTGGGCCCTGGGTTGGTCCCAGTCCCCCAGCAGAGAGAATGCTCCCTGGCTGGCCGGCCATGGCCCCCGCAGGAGCTCGGGGGCTCTTTCTCTGTGCTCTCCAGCTGCCCCAGCTGCCCCGGCCCGGGGACAACGTAGCCCTTCCCCCATTTGAGGACCCACCCGCCTGGACATGCGACAGGCAGGAGCTCCCAGAGAGTGCGCACCGGACAGGCCCTGCCCGTGAGGAGGGGGGCGGCCCACCTGAGAGTCAGGAGGGAGAGTGTGAAGGGAGGGCTGAGGGGGCTCCTTCTCGAGGACGCACCCCCCCTTTCCTCTGTTGTGGCTGCTGGAAGAGCCCGAGCTGGTCAGGAAGGCCCTCCAGCTCGTGCGGGGCATCTCACTGCGTCTGCCTCCCGCGCCGCACTGCCCCGGAGGGCTGAGGCAGCTTGCCGGGCGCTCACCTGTGGGGCCCACCTTCCCTTGTCACTGCCGTCCCCTGCCCTGGGGTGTGTCCAGCTTCGGTTTTCTTACCTGCACGAGAGCGTCTGTGCCCTCTCTGGTGCCCGAGCTGGCCGCGGCAGGGAGGCACACCGGGTTCCTCTGGCCTGACCTGTCCCCGGGTGCATGGGCCCCGGTCTGGCCCCCCGGGCAGCATGCACGAGCCCCATCCATGTCCCCTCCTCATGGGGCTGTCTCATCCTGTGACATGACCAGGTGGGGAGAAGGTCTCGTGGCTGTCCAGCGGTGTGTGCCTGGGGCGCCCAGTTCTGGGGCTTGAGGTGAGGAGGGGCGGCCCTGGGCTCCACGGAGCTCCTGGGCCCGCTTTCTCCCCCCGAGCCACTGCTGTCCTGCAGCTCACCTCCTCTGCCAGCTATTCGAAGATCCAGACTGGCCTTCGGATGCTTTCTTCTCAAGTCCAGAGAAGGGCAGGTGGCTGGCCCTCAGTGGGGGGCGCTCCTTGAGGGACAGCAGGCACAGCTCAGACCCCTCCCTGGGCTGCAGCTGCAGCCAGCAGGAGCTGGTGGCTCACAGCCCTCAGCCGGACTCCTAGGGGCATGGCCAGGACCACACAGGAGTAGATGGGTCTTTCTGTCGAGGCTCTGACCTCCCTCCGCCCACCGGAAAAGGTATTTTGTCTGAAGCTGTTAGTAGGAGTTGCCAGGGGGAAGCGGCTATGCGTTACTAAACTATGTATTTTTGCAAGTAAGGTATTCAGCACGTGGGAAGACAGATGTCCAGAGAGCGGGGCAGGCAGGGAAGCCAGGAAACCGGTGGAGATGGGCAGAGGTGATGCTCCCACCAGAGGCGGGCCTGACTTCCCAGCCCAGGCAGGACTGGCCGCCACCCAGCAGGAGCACCCCAAAGCCCCCTGTGGACAGGGTGGCGGGGACACCCTTAGTTTCTGGCACGGTCCCTTGCCTGGATGGCTGTGGGTTATAGGGGCGTCTGGGGGGTCTCTGGGACCACCCCACCTGGACCCCCTCCCCAAGGCCCATGGCACTCATGGCCTTTGACAGAACCTGCTTCTGACCCACCACCCTTTTGGGAGACAAGCCCAAACAAATCCTTGAAATTCCTGTTGGATCTGTGCTGGGCAGATCCTCTCTGGCCAAACAGACAGACAGACTGCCCTGTGGGGTGTGCGCTTCAGCAGGGGGCAGGCCAGGGAGCACTGGCCTTGACCTTTCAGAATTCCTCTACTTCCCTCCCTCTGCTTTAAATCGTGTTTTCTTTTCTTTCTCTGACTTCTCAGGAAGTGTTCTTAGACTGCTGATGGTCGGCCTTGCCCTTCCAAGTCCATGCAGCAAACACTGAATTTTTCTCCAAGCAATGTGAGGCTTCGGTGTAATGTAGTTTCGTTATTCAAAATATTTTCTAATTTCCATGGTGGTTTCTGTGAACTGTGGGTGGCTTTGCACTGCATTGCTTTTCTTATCTTTTTGGTTTATGGTTTCTAGCTTGGCTTACCTATGGTCAGAAAATACATTCTATGTTATTTCAACTCTCTGATTCGATTGAGATTTGCTTTATGGCCAGCATGTGGTCAATTTTGGTAAACGCTCTATTTGTTGATTTAAAGAGAATGCAGTTGTTGGAAGCAGAGCTGATCTTTATCATTTGGGTTGAGTTAATTCATTGTGTTTCTAGTCTCCTGTATCCTTACTGATTTTTTTCCTCTTTGCTCTGTCAGTTCCCAAGAGGAATGCTAAAATCTGCCACTGCGATTGTGCATTGTCTCTTTCTCATTCTAGTTGGGTCATTTTTGCTTTACGAATTCTGAGGCTATGTTAGTGGGTGCGTACACATTTGGAACTGTGTGTTTTCCTGATGAGCTGACCGTTCATCTTTATGAAACGGCTTTCTTTGTCTAGCAGTACCTCTTGCCTTATGGTCTCTTTCATCGGATAGTAGTAGCTGTACCAGCTTTCTCACCATAGTGTTTGTGTGGTATATCTCTGCGATTATTTTTACTTTCAGGCTTTCCATGGCACTCCAGTTAAGCATACTTGAAAACAGCCACAGATAAAATGCAAATAAATGGGCATGGCCAAATCTGGCCTGCACTGAGCTATATTTCGCCCCTGGTCCAGAGGGATTTCTTCTGCTCTGGGGGGCAGTGAGGGGAGGGATTAGGCTAGCTGAGGCCAGACTCCAGTCTCTGTGAGGACTGGCTTGGTTCTCCTGTCCTCACTCCTCACTTCCAACCCCTTAGAGCCCCAAGCCAAACCCCTCCTCCTCCTCCCTGGCAGATGCCAAACACCCAGGAGGCCGCTGGGTGCCCTCCTCAGCTCTCAGCCTCTTGGCCACAGTTACCAACACCTGATGGGAAACCTGTGACAACCTCAGGCTCATCTCTCAAAGCCTTTCTTCCCTGGGATCTCAGACCCCATGTCCTTGATGCTCTTTTTGCTCATAATAAACATTATAAATAAATGAATATTATAGTATATTAGGGGATGGTGAGTACCATGAGGAAAGATACCAGGGCAAGGAGATGTGGAACATGTGGCAAGGGCAAGTGTGATATGCAATAGGGTGGGTTAGGATTGATTTCTTTGGGATGTGGCATTTGAGGAAACTTTGAAGGAGACAAGGGAGTTAGTCACTCAGATATAAATCTAGGGAAGAGCATGTCAGGCAGGAACGGCCGTGCAAAAGGGGCAGAGATGGAGCAATGTGGCTGAAGTCAGGGCCTGGCGGGGAACAAGACATGTGGGTGTTCCAAGGACGTGGCTTGACAGGGGAGCCTCTAGAGGGTTCTGAGTGGAGTGGTGGATTGGACTTTTTTTTTTTTTTTTTTTTAGTAAGCTCTATGCCCACCGTAGGGCTTGAACTCACAACCTCGAGATCAAGAGTCACATGCCCCACTGACTGAGCCATCCGGGCACCCCAGATCTGACTTCTATTTTTAAAGGACCTCTCCACTGCTGTTTTGAGAACTGACTGTCAGAGGGTAGAGGCAGGGAGGCCAATCCAGGAGCTATGGTGGTCACCCAGGCAAGAGGGGGTGGTGGCCAGGATGGCGGCAGGGAGGGGGGCCCTGGGTGATTTCTGAGGGTGGGGCCACTGAGATTCCCACAAAGGCAGGTGAGGAGAGGAGGGAGGGTGATATGTGAGATGGGCCTCACTCCTGCCATGGCCCAGCGAGGGTGCTCGTGAGGGGCAGCGCCTTCACTTCTGCGTGGTCCAGCCCCCTTGGCCCCTCATTCCTAGAGGCTGTAGAGTCCCCCAGAGCAGCTGGAAGAGGAAACCCACTCCCACCACAAGTGACACTTGCCCCCCACTTGTGGACATGGGGGGCTGGGAAGGGGGCCCAGGGCTCTCCCCGGGACCAGTCCCCAGGATGGAGGGGGAGTACAGCCAACAGTGTGCATGTGGCCGCAAGGCTCCTAGCCGGATCAGCCCCAGGGGTGATGCAGCGCTAACAGATAGGAAGGGGCAGGTGGCCGGACTTCACGGAGGGAGAATCGGAGCTCAGCCTCGCGCTCTAAGTTTGAGATGCCTTTTTCACATGAAACGGGGTGTCAAGAAGCCCAGACAGGCATAGGAGTTGGGAGCATGGGAGAGAGGTGGGACGGGGGCCCTGGCGCACACATGGTACTTAAACCACGGGATGGGAGCCCACCAGGAGGGCAAGCGTGGGGGGAGCAGAGGCACCAGCTCAGGGAGGGAGAAGTGGGGCATCAAGAAGAGGAAGGAGAAGGCAGGCAGGCAGAGGACTGACCCGGAGTGCACGGCCCAGGGCACATG